TGAGTCACCAACAAAGGCAAAGGGAGCAATATATATCTTTCTGCTTCCTTATCTGCAACATTTCTACATGCACAGCAAGCAAGCAAGGGGTGTGGGTTTTGGGAATGAGTGCCTGGTGGAGTGGGGAGTGAAAGGGAAGGGAAAACGGGAGTTTCTGCTGTCTTTGCTAAAGAAGAGAAGCAGAAGAAAGCCACCTGGACTAGGTTGTGCTGACCTTGTAAATAGTTCCCTATCACAAGTACCTGATTTAAATTGATTTAAATTTTGAATGCCAAGCATCTACTTCAAAGATGGCTGTCTCAAATAAATACTTTGTCATCCTCAGGACTAGATTAATAGCCAGCTGTCCCTCCCCCCACCTTTGTTTTAGAGATCTTGGTTGATTTCATAACTATTTGGGCCACTTGTTTTCTCTCTTCCTGTGCTTTAAATCCCACTGTTATGTTTTATGTTCACCAATAAAGTATAAGCCATGAAACTCTAGGCCCCCATTCCCTATGCCAATAAAAGCAGGACCCCAGAATGCGGGAGCTTTCTCTACCCTTCATCTCTCTGTATGGCCTCAAATGTGCCAAGTAATTTCCATGTCCTACAAGTAATAAGCCTTTTTCTCCCCCCAAAGTTTCCCCCCAAAGCCTTTTTCTCCCCCTAAAGTTCAATCATAGTAAGAATTACAAGGGCCCGTCCAGCCTGGCATTGGTTATTGACAAGTTGAGTCTGGGGCACGTCAGTAAGTGTAACAAAACACGTAATGTTAGAAATAGGGAGAAAGAAGCTGGTATTACTTATGGAGGTGTGTTTGGTACAAAATAAGGCCTGAAGATTACTTACTAGAAATAAAAGTAACCTTAGCAGTTTTTCAGGAAATAAGTCAATATAACTTGATTTTTATGTATCAGTAACAAAGGTTTAGAAAAAGGTAACTTATAAATGCTAATCACATTAGCAAAAATTAATAAATACTTATGAATAAATCTAATGCAATACATATATATCACTTATCAGAAAAGTATAAAACAATTGTGAGAAAAAAATGAAGACCTTAATTAACTAAAGTCTGTTTTCTTGGATTAGAAGATCTGATAATCTAAAATGTTCAATTCCATCAAAATTGGTCTACAGATTTAATACATTCTCAATAAATGTGCCAATATATATTTTGATGGAAATTGATAACTTGGTTCTAAAATTTATAAATAAATACAAAGAAATGTATAGCCAAGATATAAGCTAAGAAAAAGAATGTATTGGTAAGTCATGCTCTTACTAAGCAATGTGGAAGTAATGATAAACCAGATATTGGTTTTTGCCTTTACAGAGCTTAGTATGGAGACTTGAATCCGATTGTGCTTAAGAAGTGATTACTGAAAAACATAACTAATAAATAACTCTGTTCAGTGAAAAGCGGCAAGCACCTTACAGCAAAAGGACCTGGTACTGCACTGAATTACCAGTGTTCTATGTGGATGACCCTAATGAAGCAGAGATTTCAATATTCCTCTGGGTTAATTATCATGAATCCATTCTCATATGCTTGTTTGAGAAGAGAAAACCATTTTATTTGAAAGAAAGGATTGGTAGTAGCGGATAGAATTAGGAACACATTTCTACAATTTCCAGGATCACAATCATATGCTCTCGGCAGAGCTGTGATTAAGGGCTATTTAATTCATTTTATCTCTGGGGACCCAGTAGACTTTGACATCAGTCCCTAATTTTTCACCCCAGGAGAAACCAGAAACATTAATAGAGATGGTTGAAGTAATCAAGCTTCATTATTCATGGAATCAAAGATTTTCAAGACCTGAGGTCCAATGGAAAATCATAATTGTATCATCTGTAGTCAGAATAAGTTTGACCTTCAGATAGAGTTGGTAACTCTTTGCAGGTGAGGGATAAACCAAAGACAGCAAGAATTAAAATCACAGAAACACAAAGAGAAATAAGAAAGATAGAAGCAATAAATGGCCTAGTAAGAAAAAGAAAATTATATGGTGAAAAGACACAAATTCAGGTAAAGCAAAATAGAAAGAAATGATAGAAAGGATAAAGATGTTTAGAAAGTAAATGGCAGAGACAGAGAGGAAGGCACAGAAATAGAAACAGAAGAAGAATATGACCTTACCTACAATGGAATCAAGTTGAGGCAGAGAAAGACAAAATGAAAGTGAATCATTTGGGAACAGGCTCTTGGTTGCATGCTTAAGCATTCATATTGATATAATTGGTTCCTGTATAAATTTCAGGTAAGTGTTAATTTGTTAATTACAAATAAATAGTGGGTGGATTTTGACATACTTTGTGTTAATATACAAGGGCTGAAGAGAGTAAAATAGAAGGACAATGTATCATTTATGTGCCAGGGAAAAATAAGTGTTTAGAGGTTAACAACTTTGAAATGCATGACATATCATAATCCTATTCCAGTGTTCTTCAGCAATTTTAAAATAAGCTGGTCAATGGAAGGTAGTTGTTGAGCACTACAGGTAAGGCACTGAAGTAGTTGTAATTAAATGGTCTTCTTATCCTCTGATTCTCCCCTAATTACTTGGGATAAGTGAATGTGTGACATGAGTCTTTTCATGCTTCTGCCCTTTGAAACAGTCCTGTCATTAGTCCCAGTCTCTCCTTACTGTATCTTTTTCACCTGATGATGATTAAATTGTATTAAAAGAAACAAAGAATCCTAAAGAATCATTGTTAATATTCTTTATTAACATAGATTCCAAAGAAAACAGAGGAAGGACAACAGAAAAGGGACTGAAAAAATGTGAGAGATGTGACAGATGGTCAGTAAGAGAGAAGGGTAAGAGGATAAAATAGGGATATTCCTTCCTGTCATAATTGTATCTCTGTGGTCAGGCCTACTGCTGAGGTTTTCTAAGTGTCAGTCTGCATTTAGATGACAAAGCAGTGAGAAAGATGTTTCTAAAAATAGTGATCCACTTAATTTTCTGCAAGTTTTCTGAGAATTGAAGAAAATGTGATTTATATTAAGGTTGCAAGAATTAAGAAAGAATAGATTAATTTCCTAACCTGGGATAAAATAGACAACTTTTGTGGCCACAATATAATCTTTGCATGTGTGTGCGTGTGTGTTTCTATATGCTTCAATGTTAATATCTAGAGTGTTTTGATGAGCTGAACTTTAGAACAGGAATTGGAATAAAAGTTTCTGAGTGAGGAAGAAGAAAAAAGAAAGCCAGCTAGGGACTTTGGTAGATTTTGAAGACTAGATAGAAAAATATTTATTGGAGGTAAAGAAAACCTAATTCATCAAACAAGTATTCTGCATGGAGATGCAGAGCATGGTGAACAAACAGACTGCATGGTTCAAGACAAGGGCCCAGTGAAAGCTAATTTGGATTGCTAGCAGTTGGAGAAGAGCCCCGGGGGAGGAGTCTGACTCAGAGGACGGGAAAGCCTGGACCTGCGGAAAAAGGGGAGAAGTAACAAGTTGGTCTTATTACATGAAGAGGACGGCTTGGTATTTCCTTCTGTTCCTTGGATAAATATTCTAAGCCAAAATTCTCTTCGGAATTACAGATTGTTCAGCCTGAGACTTCCAGTTGTCACACTATAAAAGGAGGTGAGAATTAGTCTTGAGGGGTAAAAAGATTTTATGAAATAAAAGTAACAATGAAATGTCAGTGCTAGAAAGACCGAGCCCATGATAAATCTAAGGCTACATTTGAAAAGACCTTTAGTTCAGGTCAGGGCTGAAATCTGTTAGATGTTTAAGAGTTCAGAGACTAAGGATCTACAAGGCAGGAGCCGGGAGATTCTGAGACACTGTGGCAGAGATGTCTGAAGCCTAAGAGGCCTAGACAAGAAAGGGTGGGTTAAGTGGGAATTTTCTCAAGGATAGTCAACGGAGTTAGACAAAGCTACAGTATGGGAACCAGAGAGCCAAAGTGGCAGAGAATCCCATAGGACTTTGCTGCTAGGCCCAGTGCCATCTGCCCAGGGTATGACCGCTGTAGCATTAGCAGGTCAATCACAATGATTGCTGAGGGAAAGCCAGACATTAGACTTACAGTTTGAAAAGGGAAAAGGAACTTTGTTGTTTCTAAGAGGCACTGAGGGTGAATGCTTAGGGGTGCATTTCTGGGATTGCTACAGGTTCATGGAGATAGGTGCCAATAGGTTATAAAATGGGGGGGGGGGAACCACATTTAATATTCAGGTTGAATATTTTAAAAAATGTGATTATAAGCAGCATTTTAAGAGAAAAAGAAAGCAAGAAATGACAAAGAGAAATGAAATGAATATTACCCAGTATGACTAATTTAAGATACATAATATATAACAAATATCTGAGCTCAAAATGTTTTTTTAATTTATTTTCATGGAAGGCAAACAGGAAGAGCTTTAGTAGTTAAACTATGAACTGTGTTCATTTTTTCCCCCTTCTGTGAGGAGTGTAGATCGAGGAAGAGTTACTATATTAAACAGCTAAAAAATATGCAAGCATGCTGGCCTTATGGAGTTTTTTACTCTTTTTTATACCCTCTTTTCATGTAATGGGGTTTTGTTTTTTATTATTAAAACATTAAATATTTCTAATTTTTAAATATATAAATTATTACAGATAAATATGAAGGGAAATTATGTTGACTCCTTGGGACTAATTAAGTCATCATGAATTAAAAGATAGCCCCTACAAGCAATAAATGGTAAACTCAAGAACATTACTGACAGACATGTAGACGAGTCCATAGGCATATACTCTGACTTTCAATTTTCATTTTTATATGGTAAATATTTCTTCCTCTACTATTTGGCTGCTTAAATATTTTAGTGCCTTCAATGCAAATCTATCAAAGTTCTTGTCAGAGATGACCAGATTTATGTGGTACACACTTTTGTTCCAGAATTCCTTCCTCTGTGAGGTCAGAGAAAAGATGTATCCTGATTGCACTGCTTATGTTCACAAGGAGTGACTTTGAGGGATAAAGAAGGTAACAGAGAACATTTCTCACTTTTTCCCAAAGGTCACCATGGTGGTCTGGAGTGACAATAATACTATGGAGCCCATATTTTTTCTGAGGGGTTTTCCTGGACTGGAGTATGTCTATTTGTGGCTCTCAATACCATTCTGTCTTGCATACTTGGCAGCATTTGTTGGTAATGTTACCATCCTCTTTGTCATTTCGAGGGACTCTTCGCTCCACCAGCCCATGTATTACTTCCTTTCCATATTGGCAATGTCTGACCTAGGTATGTCCCTGTCCACACTTCCTACCAAGCTTTCTGTGTTATGGTTGGATGCTCGAGAGATCCCAGCAACTGCTTGCTATGCTCAGCTCTTCTTCATCCACACTTTCACATTCCTGGAGTCCTCAGTGCTACTGGCCATGGCCTTTGACCGTTTTGTCGCCATCTGCATCCCACTGCACTACACCACCATCCTCACCAACAGTGTAATAGGCAAGATTGGTTTGGCCTGCTTGCTAAGAAGTGTGGGAGTTGTACTGCCCACGCCTTTGCTATTGAGACATTGTCACTACTGCCATGTCAATGCCCTCTCCCATGCATTCTGTTTACACCAGGATATTCTGAAATTATCCTGTTCGGATGCCAGCATCAACAGCATTTATGGACTATGTGTAGTTATTGCCACACTGGGTGTGGATTCAGTCTTCATACTTCTTTCTTATGTCCTGATTCTGAATGCAGCACTGGGCATTGCATCTAATGAAGAGCAGGCAAAGGCACTCAACACATGTGTATCCCATATCTGCGTTGTGCTCATCTTCTTTGTGCCAGTTATTGGTGTGTCAATAGTCCATCGCTTTGGGAAGCATCTGTCTCCCATAGTCCACATCCTCATGGCTGACATCTACCTGCTTCTTCCCCCAGTGCTTAACCCTATTGTGTATAGTGTCAGGACGAAGCAGATACGTCAAGGAATTCTCCACAAGTTTGGACTAGGGAGGAGGCTTTAAGAAACTTCTATCCTCCAGTGTTCCCACTGAAAAATCTTGTGGAAGCTATTTGAATAGATGAAAAGTAAAATATGTGGGGCCCATTCATCTGGTTAAATTTCTAATTCTTCACTTCCTAGATATGTGATCTTAGATTAATTATTAACCTTACAAGATTCAGGTTTTTTGTAGCCAAATTGTGATAAATATGGCCTTTTCTATTTTCAAAGACTTATAAAATTAAGACAATGTTTGTAAAATAGGTTGCTTTTGAAAACTGTGTAATTTGTTATACTGTTATTTTTATTGATGATAAATAGCAATAACTCTCCTTGTGAAATGTAACTGTGCATGTAGTTTCTCATGTTTATGATCTAAAACCCAGAAATCTATCTCTTTTTCTTGTACATTTGCCTATATTTTGTTATTGATGCCAAAATGTCATAACATTTTATGAAAAGATTTCTGGCACAAATTTGGAAATTGAGCTCCTGGTCTGACGTTGAAGTGTTACCGTGACTGCTGGACTAAGTTTTCACCTCATCACTCGGCAGACGTGTCTTTTCTCCCATTGCCCTTGTAGATCTATCAGTTTCAATTTACCAGCAAATACTGAGGCAGAAACATGGGGGTTACTCAAGAAAACTTGATATCTAAACATCGGGGCAAATGTAAAGATAGTCTGTTCAGTACTATATAGCACAAAATTTCATGTGAGTGGGTTGGGAGTTGTGCACAATACTCACCCTCATCTTTTAATAATATTTTCTAATTGTAAATGTCAGTGTGAAATTTTAACATCATGTCTTTTTCAGTTTATTGTTGATAACCCATTGCATTTTTCTTCTTCACTAACATGATTTATACATATGCTTTCATTGGTGATATTTTATCATTTCATACATATTCACCTCAGCTGTATTGCAAACTTTTTGGGCATGGGTCATGTCTGTTACACTAACCTGTGAGGCTGGTCTCTCCCAGGCATAATGAGTACTCATGACATAGTTGTAAGTGTAAATGCTATTGCCTATTTACTCACCCAAGAGAAATATACTGAGGAACATGAAGTACCTATTGTGGCAGTCATTTCTTTAAATACTGTGGATGAAAAAAAATGGAATGGATGGTCTTAATTGAAGAATCAATGTTTAATAGTGGATACATATAAAGATAGGAAAATGAACATGTTATCATTGAAATAAATAAACAGTACAATATTATTATTAAAGAGTGATCAATTCAGTTGAGGTTTAGGAATCAGAGATTAGAGTAACTGACACTTTAGCTGTGCCTTGTCAGACTGTTATGGAAAATACTGAAAAAAACCTGGACTGGATCACTGAGGGAAGAACCAAGCAGCACTCAGAGGTCTTGGAGTATTGAGGCTTTATTTCATACTGGCGGGCTCAGAGGGGAGTAATCTCCCAAAAGTCTGAGCCCCAAACAAAGGCAGGGGGAGCAATATATCTCTTTCTGCTTCCTTATCTGTAACATTCCTTCATGCACAGTAAGTGAGCAGGCAAGGGGGAGTGAACCTTGGGAACTGGTGCTTGGCAGAGTGGGAAACCAAGGGAGTGTTTTTTGTTTGTTTGTGTTGAGCTGGGGGTGAGACAGATGGGAGCAACCTGGGCTGGATTGCTGTCCTTGTAAATCTTTCCCTATCACTCCCCCCTCTGATGCCCCTTTAAACACTTTGTTTTAGGGAGGATCATCTCCCTTGTTTATGACAGGGTCATAGTGGCTCTGCATATTCATGAGCTGTATGGAGGAAACATGTTCCTTGATAAAGTTAATGAGCCAGTTAAATATGCAGGGTCCCACTAATAGTTTAAGGAACAGCAGAATCGCTGGCACAGCAAGGCCAGTTAGAAGAGTTGTTAGCCATGGATTTCACTTACACCATTCCTGGAACTAAGATTTTTTGTTTTCTAACATCTTCTTCCTATGCTGGATGTTTTCTTTTACTTTGGTTAGAGAGCTCCTAATATGCCAGACTTATTTACATAAAAACAACAATCTTCAAGGGCTGCATATAAGCCTCCCTGTGACATGAACAGGAGGTCCAGTCCTCAATGATTTTGCAACACCACTTCAGCTAGGGAATCAACTTGATCTTACAGCTGAATCATTGTGGCTTCAAGCTGCTCTAAATCTTGATTAAAGTTCCTCTGTTAGGGCAGCGAGCCCTAAGTCTCCCTTTATAAGGGCCGCTGTGCCTACTGCAGCTGATTCGGCTACACTGAGCCTGACTAGAGCAGGGATCAGCAAAGGGGCAGCCTGTTCTGCCTAGGAAATCTCACTGGGGGAAAGGAGGTAGCTCCCCTCAGGCCCACTATGCACTTTGTAACTTTTGTACAGTTAAACATTACAGAGAGGTACTTTGGAGATGCAGGCTGAGACTTGAGTTCAGCTAGGAGAGACAGGTAAGCACAGCAAAAAATAATTAACAATTACCTAACAGACAGTAGAAAGGGCAATTTTTAAAGGAATAGTTCAGTCCAGAGGTGCAACAGCAGAGAGTCTAATGCCTAGAATAAGAGACACTACTCCGATGAGAGCCAGGGTCCATGGTACACAGGTGTCCATTAGTCAGGGCAATCATCGGATGGGATGCAGAGGTGGAGAGGATCTGGAGGTCTGGCTGGGCCCTCCACTGATGGGCTTCCATGTCAGGATGATGGGCCCTTTTCACTCTGGAATGATGGACACATGGAGTGATGCCTGCAACCTTGAGGGCAGCAGTAGTAGTTAGAACAACAATGTGGGGCCAGTCCATTGAGGTTTGAGGGAGTCCTTTTTCCAATCTTTAACCCAGACTGAGTCCCCAGCCTGGAAGGAATGTACTGGGGTTCCTAGAGAGATCGGGGCTCTTTCTATGGTGTATTGTTGTAGTTTATTTAGGGTGGCTCCCAAGGCTTGGAGCTGCTTTCTTGATCCTTTATTTATTTAGTGTAGGTTCCCTGGGACGCTTCCTAGACATGGGGAGGACGTCTATACGCTAATTCAAAAGGGGAAAAACCTTGAGTTCCACGTGTGCAGCAAGCACGCAGGAGAACCAGGGGCAGTAAATCTGGCCATGGGAGGCCAGTTTCTTGCCAAAATTTAGCTAGGGTTCCTTTGAGGGTGTGCTTCATTCACTCTACTTTCCCTGAACTCTGTGGCCTGTATGCAGTGTGAAGTTTCCAGGTAATGTTGAGGGATTTAGTTAACATTTGCACTACATCTGCTACAAAGGCAGGCCCATTGTCACTGTGGATTGTGGATGGTAGGCTAAACCAGGGCACAATTTCTCTCAGGAGGACATGGCTACCTCCTGGCTTCATTCTGTTTTGGTTGGGAACAGAGTATGTACACACTATTATTAGGAGGTATCTGAGTCCCCTGCTTGGCTGAACATCTGTGAAGTCTATCTCAAGGTCTTCAAAGGGGGCAACTCCTGCTCTTTGGACACCAAGTGGGAGTTGTGGCATAGATCAAGCATTATTCATGCACAAGTTACACACTGTCTACTCACTGCTCAGCATAGTGCTGGCAACTGGCTGATGTAGTATTGCTTTTGAGGAGGGCCTCCAGTGCAGTTTTTCCTAGGTGGGAGAGCTCGTGGTACTTGCTGACTAGTTGACTCCTGGTTCCAGTTGGAGCAAAGATCATCTGTCTGGCAGCATCCACCATCCATTTTCAGTTAAGGTGGCTCCTTCAGTTATGGCCCAGTCTTTCTCCTTTTCAGTGTACTTGGGAAGGGGGGCCTCTACTGGGGGTGTGAGGGCCATAGTGAGGGAAGGAGCTCTCCCTGACTCTTTAATGGCTGCTGCTTTGGCAGCTTCATCTACAGTTCGATTCCCCTGTGCTATAGGGTTGTTTTCCTTTTGATGTTCTTTGCAATGCAGAATTGCTATTTTTTTATGAACAAAGAGATTGAAGGGCCTTTTTATATCTGGCAGGCCTAGGGCTGGTGCCTGTTCTGAAGCAGCTTTTATTTCCAGGAAGGTGGCTCTTGCCTCTTTTGTCTAGACAGGGGGCTTTCAGTCTGGCCTTCCCACCCCCACCCCCAGGAGGTTTCAGAGGGGCCTTGCCATTGCCGAGAATCTAGGAATCCAGATTTTTGCAGAACCCACAGCCCCTAGGAATTCTCTCATGCCCCCCTCATCCTGGGCTGGGGCAAGGAGTTAATGACCTTTTTTTCTCTGGCCTTAGTGCCCTTTCTTCTTGGGTGAGGAGGAAGCCTAAGTACCGGACTTGCTGTTGGCAGATTTGTGCCTTTTTTATGAAGCTCGGTATCCTGAGTCTGACAGGAGTTGCAGGAGGGCCTTTGTGCCTTTTGTACAATTTTCCTGGGTGTCAGTGGCAAAGAGGAGGTCATCTACCTACCGCAGGAGGGCACAGCATGTGGCATCTCTCAGAAAGCTGGCAAGGTCTGCAGCCAATGCCTCTCCAAAGAGAGTGGGGTGAGTTCTTGAACTCTTGTGGGAGCCGCATCCATGTTGACTGCATCTGCCACCCTGTATCCAGTTCAGTCCATTCAAAGGCAAATAAGAGCTGGCTTTGGGGGGGCCAGCCAGAAGCAGAAAAAGGCATCTTTAAGTCTGGACAAGTGAACTATTTGGCAGACTCTGGGATCTGGCTGAGGAGGGTGCACGGGTTTGGGACCACCAGGTGTAAAGGAACAGTCACTCTGTTAATGGCTTACAGGTCTTGAACAGGCCGGTGTCCTCCTCCTGGCCTTTTGACTGGTAGAAGCAGGGTGTTCCAGGGTGACTCACCCTCTATTAGAATGGCTGCCTCTCTGAGTCTGATCAGGTGTTCCTGGATGCCTGCTCTCACCTCTTGTGAGAGGGGTACTGCCGCTGTCTTTGTGGCTCCAAGAATAGTTGCAGTCTTTTTCACTGAAGGGGGCTACAGGGAGAGTGACCACAGAGTGTTCTGCCCCTGTGTCAACCATAAAATTCATGTTTTGGCCCCCACTTTCATTTTGACTGTGGGCTCATGGGGGCCGAGTGCGAGAGAGCCCAGTCCTTGTC